CTTGTTACTAATAGCTTCTAGCTACTAGTAGCGATGCACTTGTTACTGATAGCTTCTAGCTACTAGTAGCGATGCACTTGTCACTAGTAGCGATGCACTTGTCACTAAGAGCTTGCCTTTGTTGCTTTGGATTCTGGAAGCCCAGCAGTGATGTGAGATGGAATGCCAAGGCAAACCAAATCATTGAGTCTGTTAAGTTTCGCTAAAAATCTAGGAACCAAATCATTAGCGGGAGCTATCCTGCGTCCAGTTACTAGGAGCTTCCTAGTTTGCTTTAGCTTACTACTCCCTTACTTAATTAAGCAGGCGCCTACTCAATTAAGTTGGAGCGGCCTAAACAAAAAAAGTTTCCTTTGAGCCTTGCCTTGGTGGACTCGAAGGTGGGCGCAATTTCTTCAGAGAATCCATCGCCAATCGAGGGCATGGAGCCGGACTTCAAGAGCATCAAAGGCGATTGGAACATACTATCCATAAAATCACACCACATCCTCAGTTCGAGATCGAAATGCTCAACACATGTGATGCTAGAGTACTTCGACTGTGTGCGTAGGCTTGACAAGGTCTGACTAGAAACAAATGGTTTAAAAAAATAGAGTTGTGCTGCTGGGTTATTCCCTTCACACCAAACATCACTCAACGCCAATGCCTGTGATCATTTGTTCCAGGCTTCTGCATGAAGCGGACCCGATGATGGTCACAGGCCGTGTTGAAGGCTTCAAAAATACATCTCTTCATTGTGTCATTTCGCTCAATGACTTGGGCCTTCCACCAGATCAAGCATTCAAATTTTGACAATACAAAGTTGCGCAAGTGACAGTGCATTGGTTTACGTCGGGCACGCAACTCTGCGTGCCAAACGCCAAAGCTTCGAGTTGTGCAATCCACTTTTCCCTGCACTTAGGCTCAAGATACAAATCGGATGCCAGATGCCTGCTTTGGGATAAGCCGGGAGAACATGTGTTCTTCCGGCGAGCCCTGGAGGCCAAGCATAAACTGCACGGTCGCCTCCCAACAAAGATGCCAGTACACGCAACATCTCTACCATGCAATCAAGAAAACACACATATCCAATATCAGACCTCCTTTTGCTCTCCAAAGAAGAACTTCAAGCGTTCTCCAACATATTTGGTCTTTGTTCGCATTCTTGTAGGAGCATTCCTTGTGCATCCAGGTGTTACAGTATCTGCTTTGACAAGTGAATGCACAATTCTGAATGGAATTTTTCGTAACATGTCTGGTCTCTTTCCCATGCGCTTTTCCAACCAAGTATCTGCATCATCAGTTGGGTGATAGTGTCCTCACAAACCCAACAAATACAATAGCAAAGCATCTTCAACCGCAACAACTGCCTCTGCTCCACCAGTATCCGTCACCCCGGCCTGCCATGTGATGTCCCGCAGCCCGGATCCTCTTGCCTTGACACGCGTACAAACACCAGCAAGGCTACGGGAATACACTCAGTCCAAGAGTTTAATAGCTTCTTGTTACTACTCGTAAGGCACTTGTTACTAGTAGCGATGCACTTGTTACTACTAGTACGGCACTTGTTACTAGTAGCGATGCACTTGTTTCTACTAGCTTCTTGTCACTACTAGTACGGCACTTGTTACTAGTAGTAGCGATGCACTTGTTTCTACTAGCTTCTTGTTACTACTAGTAAGGCACTTGTTACTAGTAGCGATGCACTTGTTTCTACTCGCTTCTTGTTACTACTAGTAAGGCACTTGTTACTCGTAGCGATGCACTTGTTTCTACTAGCTTCTTGTTACTACTAGTAAGGCACTTGTTACTAGTAGCGATGCACTTGTGTCTACTAGCTTCTCGTTACTACTAGTAAGGCACTTGTTACTAGTAGCGATGCACTTGTTTCTACTAGCTTCTTGTTACTACTAGTAAGGCACTTGTTACTAGTAGCGATGCACTTGTTTCTACTAGCTTCTTGTTACTACTAGTAAGGCACTCGTTTCTACTAGCTTCTTGTTACTACTAGTAAGGCACTTGTTACTAGTGGCGATGCACTTGTTTCTACTAGCTTCTTGTTACTACTAGTAAGGCACTTGTTACTAGTAGCGATGCACTTGTTTCTACTAGCTTCTTGTTAATACTAGTAAGGCACTTGTTACTAGTAGCGATGCACTTGTTCCTTGTAGCGAACAATGTTCAAAAGCCCTTTAAGGCTCAACTTGCAATGAGCTGTGTGAAATCACATGCAACCTGCATGGTCGCATCGTCCCATCGCGACTTTGGTGGCCCAGGCTTGGATGACGTCGACTGGCTCCAGCTTTTTTCCGAGGCCAGCAAAGCGGGTGAAGACCTCCACTTCGTACATCAGCCTGGCCAACATGGCCAAGAGTGCATAAATGAGTAGCCAACCAAACTAGCTACACATACCAACCGAAGCAACCAAACTGCGCTGGTAAGCACATGCGCCCGGATTCAAAAAGAAAAAAAGACCACTGTCCGACGGTCTCACCCGGTCAAGCTGCGGCTCAACATGACACAAGAAAAACATGGTCATGTGGTCAAATTTTGTCAATCGCCTGTGGAAGGGTCCCAGCATTTACTTCGTCCTGATTCTGTTTCTAAGATGTTCTAAGTGCACCAGGGAGCTTGGTATCTGAAGTCTAAGTTCTCTCACATACTTCTTTTGTAAAACCTAATGACTCAAAATCCCCTGTTCCTGTTTGGATGTTTGTTCCCATACCCTTAGTTTTCCTTAAAAATCTAGGAACCAAATGATTAGTGCGAGCGCTTCTTCCAGGAAGCCCCCCCTCGCCCTCGAGCGCAGGGAGATTCCTTGAAGAAGAGTGAAGTATCCTGTGTCCAGTAGGCAGCAATAGCTAACTATCTCTTCTAGCAGCCTACCCCCCGGGCTTTCAAATATATATATATATAATACTATTAGTAATTATGTCAGCATATACCCCAAACAGCTTTAGCAATATTGCTTGCGTCAACTCCTCAAGCTCCAGTGTCTATCATAACAATTGGGATCAATTTTGAATGGTAAACAAAAAACTGTCAGAAAACAATAGTTCCTGATTTCTGAGGTTGTCACATGTGTAATTGCGAAGGTAAATATATATATATATATGTCATCACAAAATCCGCGGATGATATCAAACGCTGCATCACTGTCCCCACTCATAACCACATGAAAACACACCCCCCAAAAAAACGAGAGGAGGACAAGTTCAAGAGAAGGACAAGAGAAGCACAAGAGAAGGAAAGAGAGGGACAAGAGAAGGACAAGACGAGGACACAGAGTTGGCCAGCGTGCGCAGACGACACAGGGTTGGCCAGCGCGGCCAGAGGACAACAGCAGGACAAGAGGAGGGCAAGAGGAGGACAAGGCCCGGACACCTCAGCCCGGACACAGAGTTCAGGGGCGCGGCCGGCCAGTGTGGCCAGCTCTTTTTTCTTGAGATAGAACCCCAACAGTAAACTGTTTAGGGAAAAATAGTAATATAATATATAACAATAATCTGGATTGGCTCGCTGCCGGCCTCCTGAACTGCGCACCGCCGTTCAATGAGACGTCCATGGCAGGTAGCTTCACCGTGTCGCGGAGGTAAGCTACGTAGGAGTCAAGATCCTAAATGTTGGTCAAGACCCAAGGCATGAGCTGTAAGGCTTGTTGATGTTAGTTAAGTTTCCCTAAAAATCTAGGAACCAAATCACTAGTGTGAGCGCTTCTTCAAGGAAGCTTCCCCCGCCGCCTTTAGGGCGGCGGGGGGAGCTTCCTTGAAGAAGCAAGAGCTATCCTGCAGGTAGGAGCTCAAGTAAGGTACTAGCTACCTCTTCTACTAGCTACCTAGCTACCTAGCTACTATATACCTCTACGGCCTACCCCCCTGGGCAAAAAAAAGATTACTGTTTCACACTTCGTTTCACACTTCGTGTCACGCTTTGTCAACAAATGTGGGGTTGTTTCAACTCACTCAAAGTGTTGCCCCGAGGGCGGTCCTCGAAGGATATTGGCATGAGCTCTTCATCCTTCAAGCAGTCAGTCCGAGCACAGTACCTGAAAGTGACTTGCCACCACCGGAAGTCTATCAAAGGTTTCCGTTGACATGCACCAGGATCTAATTACAGCAATCACGAAACTTGCCACCCCTCCACCCCAGCCAGAGCACGCATGGAAGGCCTTCAGCTCCTCCTCAAGAGTACATCTATTGTGCTCGGACGAGAGAGCGCCCTGCAGCTGCGCTGCTGACAGTCACGAAGGCAATAAATGTATGCGTGTAGATCGTTTTACTATCCAGAGATTTTGACCTGCACGTTTGGGTTTAAGCTCTGAGTCGCCATAGGAACTGGCAAAACTCTGGCCTCCATAAGGAAAATGAAGCTCTGCGCGAAAGTGATTCCGGCTGAGCGAGTGGCGTGCAAAATGTTGTCCTGCACCAGTGATCATGTAGCATCTCACTAGTCACTAGGCTTTGGGTTATGCAGGTCTTCAGTAGTCATCAGTCATCAGTAGTCATCTAAAGTAGACAGGATTGTTTCCCTTCAAAAGCCTGAGTACACATCAATGTGGGCGACAATCTTGTCTGTCCTCGTTGATGGTCTCGGTCTCTTGTCTAATCACCTCAAGCTTCTTCTCATGCTCCTCTGTCAATTGCTCCAACTAGCCAGTCCGTATGTGTGCGGAATGAGGACTGGGTAGAACTCTCGCGTTGTCAACATGGCTCTGACAGAATGGATATCGTCTTGTGGCTATTTTTAGTGATGCTACTGGTATTGCCTATATACTCCAACATTAAGCATGAAGCATCAGGGCATGACCTGACACAGGAAGGGCATATCCCATGCCTTTCCCCAGTTGACCCTCCTCCTGCATGTTCTTGAGACGGGTCAGCATTGGAGCCAAGGCATCCGCAAAAAGCTGCTGGATTTTGATCTGGGACAACAAAGAAGGCGGTTCTACTGTCTCTGTTTTTTAGGAAGACATAAGTATGCACACTGCCATCAATAGTTTTGCACACAGGCATCATCACAAGCCTCCATGAAATTCCGAAAATTCTGAAATCCAATTGTCATTTTGTACCTGCCGAACGACACACAAAGCAGAACACCGCCATTTAATAAATGTGCCCGCCTGGATGAGGCTCCTTTGCTTGTTAAGGTTTCCATGTCGATGTCCGAGCACTCCTCAAGTTAGCAAGAGACTGATCCCAAATGAAGCTCTGCACTCCCCGCGCATTCAGTCCTTCCGCATCTCTCCAAATGGCTTGGGCATAGCTTCGCCAGTCCAATGCGGCCTGAGTTCCCACTGAGTTCCCATGCTTCACATCAGAAGCACTGAATCCTACAATGTAGTATTCTTTAAACTCATGGCCAACTGTCAAACTTCTTATACATATCATATATATAGTGTGTATATATAAACACAACCACACGCCTTCTTTTCACGCGTTGCAGAGAGTTGGTCA